AGTAGAAAAATGTGTGTGTAAGCAGGATGACATTCTTATTGGTGGGGTCAGTTGGCAGGAGAACATCAAAATCCTGGCTGAGGTATTGGAGAGGTTGCATAAATATAGCCTGCATTTGAAGATGGCAAAGTGTGAATTTCTGAAGAGGGAAGTTGTCTATTTGGGTTTGAAGATAGATGCAGTACTATCACCCATTTCTACCAGATTTAGCAACCAAACTAGCACTATTACATGGGCTCCTCAAAAAGGGTGTCCAGTGGACATGGACAAAAGAGTGTCAGCAAGCATACGAAACTTGGAAACAAGGTCTCACCAGTGATGCACTGTTGGTGCATTATGATGGGGACCGTGAACTGAGACTTGCTTGAGATGCGTCCAGCTATGGAATTGGAGCAGTTATTAGCCATGTGATGGATGATGGCCAGGAGAGGCCAATAGCCTATGCCTCTCGGACACTGAGTTCAAGTGACAGGAACTATGCACAAATTGAGCGTGAAGCATTATCAATTGTTTTTGGTGTAAAAAAATTTCACCAGTTTTTCGTATAGGCCTAGTTTTACCCTGATCACTGATCACAAACCATTGTTGGCAATTTTCAATCCGAAATCCGCTATCCCCACACTAGCAGCAGCTCGGATGCAGAGGTGGGCTCTAGTACTTTCAGCATATGACTATGAGATTGAGTACAAAAGATCTGAAGACCATGCCAGCTGTGATGCTCTCTCAAGGCTACCACATGAGGACTCCACAGTGGGAAGTGCGGGTGTGGTCTACAGTGTGAGTGTAATTGATGATGATTTTCCAATCACTGCAGAAGATATAGGAAAGGCAACCCTTGTAGATCCTGTACTTGGTAAGGTACATCATTTTGTAATGTCAGGTTGGCCAGAAGAGTGTCCTGATGAGACCTTCAAACCCTATCATAATAGAAGAAATGAGCTGTCCTGTGAACAGGATTGTGTCCTTTGGGGCTCCAGGGTGATTATTCCACCAATCTTTAGAGCCAAAATGCTGGGGCAGTTGCACTGGGAACACCCTGGTATGTGTGATATGGAAGCAATTGCTCGTCACGCATGTGGTGGCCAAAAATGGATCAGGAAATTGAGGAAGCAGTGAGAGTATGTACAGTATGTTAAAATGTTAGAAATGCCCCATCCACTGCACCCCTGATCCCATGGAAGTGGCCAACTAGACCATTTCAACGGATACATATTGATTACTGTCAGAAGGGTAATGATTATTTCCTAGTAGTAATCGATAGCCACTCAAAGTGGATTGAAGTGAAACATATGAGCTCTACAACTACTGAACGGACTATTGAGGAGCTCCGTTTAATTTTTGCTACTCATGGGTTACCTGAAGAGGTGGTGTCTGACAACGGACCACAGTTTACGTCCACTGAATTTGCCGAATTCATGCGCAAAAACGGCATCAAGCACACGTTGGTTCCANACATGAGGACTCCACAGTGGGAAGTGAGGGTGTGGTCTACAGTGTGAGTGTAATTGATGATGATTTTCCAATCACTGCAGAAGATATAGGAGAGGCAACCCTTGTAGATCCTGTACTTGGTAAGGTACATCAATTTGTGATGTCAGGTTGGCCAGAAGGGTTCCCTGATGAGACCCTCAAACCCTATCATAATAGAAGAAATGAGCTGTCCTGTGAACAGGATTGTGTCCTTTGGGGCTCTAGGGTGATTATTCCACCAATCTTTAGAGCCAAAATGATGGGGCAGTTGCATTGGGAACACCCTGGTATATGTGGTATGAAAGCAATTGCTCGTACGTGCATGTGGTTGCCAAAAATGGATCAGGAAATTGAGGAAGCAGTGAGAGTATGTACAGTATGCCAAGATGTTAGAAATGCCCCACCCAGTGCACCCCTTATCCCATAGAAGTGGCCAACTAGACCATTTCAACGGATCCATATTGATTTCTGTCAGAAGGGTAATCATTACTTCCTTGTAGTAATCGATAGCCACTCACTGAGTGGATTGAAGTGAAACATATGAGCTCTACAACTACTAAACGGACTATTCATGAGCTCCGTTTAATTTTTGCTACTCATGGTTTACCTGAAGAGGTGGTGTCTGATAACGGACCACAGTTTACGTCCACTGAATTTGCCGAATTCATGCGCAAAAACGGCATCAAGCACACGTTGGTTCCACCCTATCACCCTTAATCTAATGGGGCAGTGGAGAGGTCTGTGAGAGTTGTTAAGGATGCTTTAGTTAAACAAGTGCTTGAGGGTAAAAAGGGCATCTCTATGAAACACAGACTTGCTAATTTTCTATT